TTAAGTAATTTCAGTATCGCATGCATGCTGTGACCTAGCCAACACATGAAAAAAATGTCAAAGGGAGGCTACGAGGCTACTTGCTATCTCTTTCTATTTTGAGTTACTCCGCTTAAATTAGCAAGCATGTTTATACATGTAGTAGTGTAAATTCATAAAGGGGGGATTTGAGCATTAATATAACATAAGAAGCAAAAAAAAAAAAAAAAAAAAAACTACAATGTATTACATTTACAAAAAAAGAATAAAAAACAGTGGTTATTGGGGGAGGGGTTTTTTGGGATTCCCACCCTCACCCATTAAATACGTGGGGCAGTTTGACCAATTACTGCTGCCATTTAAATAAGAAAGTAGTAAAGTGAATAAATAACAATGCCAATTATATTAGTCCTTGTATATATACTGTAGTATAAAAAATAAATTCAATAGCAGTTTTCATTTTTTTTCAATCTCCTTGATAAAAATTTATTTAAAAAACGTTTGATTTTTCGTGACTCAGTCATTGCATAAATATATTATAGATCCCAGGCCCGTAGGTAGCAATTTCAGTTGGGGGGGGGGGGGCACAGCCATACATTTTCAGTTGGGGACACTATCAACTACCAAAATTCCTTGACAAGCAAAAAAAAGGGGGGGGATCAGACGTTTTTATTGACGGGACACAAGCATATAATAGCTTTGTTTTATATAGTATTCTATATATCGGCAAAATTAGGGGGGGGGGGCATGGCCACCCCCCCTCCCCGGTTCCTACGGCCATGTATCCTGAATGTACTATTATTATTATTAACGGATATAACTGCTACCAGTAATTTTGCCTGTCTATCATATTTGTTTTCTTTGAAGGGATGTCTATATAGAATATAACTTCATAGATCGGGCATTTGAACATGGTATTTGGGGGGGGGGGGGGGGGTATGGTAATATGTCGTTCGACATGTGGTCTATAATTTTTTTTTTCGACTGTATGTAATGATAGCCATTTACTACTGCCAGTAGCTGTTTTTCGTATATATTTGTTTAATTACAAATAGTAACGATCCCGAGAACGTCCAAGTTAAAAATATCATATGCAATATGTATACGATATTATGATTATTTTATCATCTTCTGTACTCATTATCGCCTATATATCTATTTGTAGTTGTGTTAGAAATTGCACATGGAGAAACGGAACGTTATTTTAAATATATGAAAATTATGAGTAAAATGTTAAAACTAGTTTTGAACAATATGAAAGTCCTAGATGTTGTTATGTTTCAATGTAATTTTCACTTCTCACCAGATAATCATTACTTTAGATTTTATTAAAAGGGTTTATAATAGGTACTCCCCAACATGGAAGTGTGTAAGATATGATAATATGATAACAAAACGATTAGTTAGCAATAATTCATTCGATCGTTTTTATCATCTGAAATCTCTTTTCATATCTATTGTGGGTATATAGAAAAGTTTCTCATTGATGAATATAACATATTTATCATAATTAGTGAACTTTATTTCTATTAAGTAATTTACATTGAGTAAAGTGGTATATGTGCCATTTCCGTTTATCTTTTTTTTTATAACTCCAGGTTCCGTTTTGAAATCCAAATACTTTGGAAATCTTGTGTTTTCGTTGGAAAATATTTTTTTTGCGGCCGATTTGATGCTTTGCATGACTCATGTTTAAAAGTCTGTAGTGGCTTCTTTCCTGACAATCTGTGGTGCGCAGGATTGCCGTCAAACGTCATTATTTTATGTGTATTACATGTAAGAACTACAATTTCATTTCTGATGTCCGGGAAATGCCATAAATTTCGGAAGTGCAACGCAATTCTCAAAATGACAATAAAGTAGATGGTAACTTCAAACGTATTCATTTTTATGCAACTTTTCATTTTAATTTCATGTTTTCGTTATTAAAGAGTACTCGTGTATTTTCTGAAAAAAAAAAACTGTATATTTTTTGTTTCTACGCCGTATGACCATACAATAACACATTTATGAATGATAAAAATCCTTGTCCATGGCTACTATGGTATATATTTTACTACATTAATTCAGTTTTACTCAAATATTATGGATTAACACTTTGTGTTTGTTTTCAGCTTAACGTGTCTCTTATTATCATTTAAAACGTGTTACATGTATCAACGATTATACCAGACAACCGTTGTATATAACAAATATTTGGCATTTCTTTGGAGTACAAATAGTTTTAATTAGGGATGTCAACGAATATTCGAGTACTCGACTATCGTTCGATCATACCGACTATCGACTAAAATTTCTTTAGTCGGTTATTCGTTAAAAATGTGTTATCTAAACGTAATTTTAAATTCAAGGTAATAAACTTAGATTTGCCCACTTCATTTATATACAGATCAATGTTCTCATAAGTAAAACTCATGGTATGTTTTTAAGGAATAACTGTCTAATTTTTTGGTTTCATGATGTGATCAATCGATTGGCTTGCGTGATAATTTGCATAAACGCCGAAGGCGTTTATGCCTAAAATTATCACGCAAGCCAATCGATTGATCATCGTCATGAAACAAAAAAATCTGACAGTTATTCCTTATATTTACATGGTCTTGATTCTACAAATTCACGTGCTACATGTACAAGCCTCGCTTCTGTCTCTATTTGTCCCGCCCCGCACCTGATTTTTTTCCCACCACGCCTATCGATGAACCAGTAGATTTATGTAGAAATAAAGTATTTTTACTATTTGAAATTTTATCTCGGACAAAGACATTGGAAATGTAAATATTAACTGTTAAAAGGGAATTATTTGTATGTCGATTTATGTTCGTCAAATATGCCTCCAAAATCTAGTTTTGGAATACTTTAAAAGATTTCAGGATGGAAAAACAGTTAAAAGTGCGTTATCAAGGTTATGTGAAACTGAACTTGTATTCTGCAGTGGGACATCAAATATGATGTATCATATGCCGAATCCGTCAAACATACATGTAGTAAACAAAGTCTTCAATTGAAACGTTTCTTAAGTAACTTCTCCGCAAAATGCCAAAAAAAAAAGCAGAGCCGGAAATAAAAATGTTGCTATCACAAATATGATTATCAAGGATTGTTTACCACTGATTGTTGTAAATGGAGAGGACGTTCAAGAATTGTTTGGTTGTGTAGATTCAATTACCGGTATAAAGTTTCAACCATAAGATCTGACGTGATGCAACTATTCATAAAGAATAATTAAACAGCTGTTACAAAATTGTAAATACATGTAAACTGGGGGACAGTTATGAGCGTAATTAAATGGTGTTTCTTTCTGATATTAATATCATGCAGTCTTTTTAAGATTGTATTGATAATTTGCACAAAATCTCATAATTAAAATTTATCGCAAGTTCTCTTTGTTCTTATAAGAGGCACGCTTTAATTGTTTACCAGTCAAAGGTCACTGAAAATACACGTAGAAATGGCTTCAATTAACGGGTACATGTAGTCTCGTTATGAAAAGAAAAGGACAAATGCAAGCGTTTGATATCCTGCATTTAGATAAAATGTGCAGTAAATGTTAATATATTAATTTTGAAATCAAATGCATTGGATAAATGTAGTTGTATAGTATTTATTGTACTACGTAAATGTTTACGAATCAGAAATTCGTTGTTTAATGGTGATAGTGTAGGTTAAATATTGCACAACTAGTCTATAAAAGACAAATAGTGAAAATGACATGAAAAATTAATTTAAATTTCAACGAATATTCGACTATCGTTCGACTAAAGCCTCCGACTATTCGACTATGCTGTCCGAATAAAATTGACATCCCTAGTTTTAATAAAAAAATAAACCAAAATTTTTCAAAACTTCTTGAAAAATTCATAGTAAAATTTTGCAAAATTTTAAAGAAGAGCCTATATTGGTCATTTTTATTTTATTAACGTACATATGTTACTGTCTTATACAAAATGTCTACGTCACGACGTTAAAGTATGTAACGTCAACGTAATGACGTGATAGTATTAATAAGGAAAACAATACCAAATTTAAACGATTGTAAAAGGAAATCCAGAAAAGATATTGTTAAAAAATAAATTGTTTTACAACATACAAATCTTAAAGTTTCATATGAGAAAGTTTCATTTATTTTGATGACTGGGCCGATTTAGCCCCTTCGTGGATTTAGCTCTTTATTTTTGTGCCTTAGTATGTCCTAAATGAACTTAAAGTACATTGTGACAATTTCCGCAGAAAATTTGTGACAGTGTAAATTGTGTAAACTAATCTTGCACAAAAAAATGTATATCTACCATGCTGTAAACATGAATGTATATAGATGTGTTATTAATTATGCAGGCTAGTAACATGAGGTTTAATTCCACACTACAAGTAGAATGTATTCTTAATATTTAATGAATCCAAGTAATGGTAAACCTTACAATGACCAAACTTACATAGAGGATACACCTAGGGATGCACACAACCACACTTGCTTTGGATGCTGAATCTGACCTACATTTATTGAAGAAATAATTTCCAAGTAAATTTTAGCCCATTGGTGACGAAAGTGGCATGGTTGATGCATCTATGGATGCACACAAGAGGCTTGCTTCAGATTCTGGATCTGACCTAAATTTTTCAGGTTAATGTTTGAGAGCTGGTTCATTCCCAAGTAACTATAAACCCAATGGTGATGAACTTGCATTGATGAAGCATGTTTCTAGGTGTGCACACTACCAGACATGCTTTGGAAGCTGGATCTGACCTACATTTTAAGGGTGATTGAACAGATAAGGTTTTTGATACTGGTCCATTTTCAAGTACATGTATATGTAGATCCTACCTGGACCAAACCTGTATAGATGTTGTATCTAGGGATGAACATTACCAGAACATTTGTTTGGTGTGAGAATGCCTTACTTGTAGATAACATTCATTGAGGTGGGCTCTGTAATCATTGATTTCTTATGTTTTAATAATCTTACTCCCTGGGAAAATTTATGCATTTACAGTTTCATAAAAACTTAATTTTTAATGATTGACAGCTGGTGGACGACAAAATCTACAAGTTTCAGTATGGAACATCTGATGGATATTTCCTTGGTAAAGTTTTATTTAACAATGCCTCCATTAACCTGACAATCAAGGGCCTGTTGCAGTGAGTATTGTTTATATGTAACTGTATAATTACATGTCTATTAGTGTTAAAAAAGATTACTGGATGTTTAATTCTCAGAGCTCTGTCACATATGGTGAATAAGTATGCTGGAACCTATTAGGAAATTTTGTGAAGCAAATTCAGGAATGTCAACTTCATCCCAGTATGAGTTATCTCTCTTATCAGAGGGTAGATAGACCTTAAACAAATACATATAACAGTGTATCAGATAGTAGATGGACGGTAAACAAATACATGTAACGATGTCGAAATATTAATTTTATGACCCATTTAATACTGATTCAGTTTGTTGTTAAGGTTATTTTTAGAAGTGGAATGATGAACACCACAGATTTAAGTTTCTTCATTAAAATAACTCCATCAACCTCTGATTTGTTTCAAACATATTTTATTATCGCAACTAAGTGAACAAATATATTAGATGAACAAGTCCTAACAATTTACTAGCCACAACTCCTAAAAATTATATATCAGATATTTTTAAATCCTTTTATGAGGTCTTAAGAAAAAAATGGTTTTTATATAAGTTTTTGGACAATTATATTATGTCATTATATGTGTAAGATGAATTTCTATCCAAACAAAAGTTTTTAAAAAATTTCTTGAAATGTTGTTATAGTATTATTTAGTTAATCAAAACAATTAGAAACCAAACATCTCCTAAAGCAATGAACTAAGTCCTTAACCCCACCTGAAGAAAAAAGATTGAACCCCCCTCCACCCCACCCCCCACCCCCTTCCTGTCTACCTCAGACAAATTTTAACGGAGAGTTCTCACTGAAAAAATTAGTAAAATTTTCAGATAAATAGTAAATCTTCTCATTATGTTGGGATGTTGGATATTGGCCTGATTCTTCAACTATCTGATTGTCATTATTAAATCTGAGTGTCTTGTGTCAATATCTTACTCAGTGTTATTTGTTTATGATAACAGTTTGTGTCACAATTTCATAATAGCTTGTACAGCTAATAACAAAATGATAGTTCATTTTTTCCACAGAGATTGTCAAGCTGGTGGAGCAGCATACACAGCACTTAAACTGAATAATTTGTTTGATGTGACCACTCTAACTAACTTCACAAATGTAAGTTGTCAGTCACTTATAATTCACACCATAGGAATGCAGTTCACAGTAACCAGAATCTAAACAGTTGAAGTAAAACTCACTTGGTAATGTATCTGCACTGTGATTACCTAAGTATTTTTAAAGACTCATTATCATGATTATACAGTAAAATCCGTTTTTGTACGAACACGGATATAGGAAATTCATGGATACATAACAAATTTATTTGAAGGTCCCTGAGTCATTAATTTTAACAAATCCCTGAAAGATCCCTGAAAGATTTCATGGTTATGATAAACTCTGATATATAGCAAATATAGGAATATTTAGCAAATTGATTTTTTGTCACACAGGGGTAAAAAAAAAAATTAGGGAAGTTATATCTTATGCAGAATTTTTAAGGTTCCAATAATTAAAGATACTAAATTGATGTTAAATTTCGTATTTATTATTAAAATTTTACAAAACATGTATTTATTTGTATTGAGTACTGGTAGTATTTTACGTTGCTGCACTGTGATGGTAATTAACTTATAAGGTTCTAGTATTTAAACTCAATTTAAAATTGAAAAATATTATGTATTTAAGACTTCAATAAGCAAATAGGTCAGTCATAAGAAGGAAAACATGTATAGCATGGATTTGTTACATATAATACTTTTACAAATTCGTTATTTGGATATAACGAGTTATGGATAAAGCAATTTAAGCCCTAGGACTTTGCTGTAACCAAGTTTTATTATACATGTAATTTGATACTTCTAAGTGCCATAAATTTATTAATTCTTATAAAAGTTTTATTCGTTTCAAATTGAGTTTTAAATGTACAATCTTGTAAAGCTACCACTGTGTATTCTTCCTTTGATTGGCAGAATCTAAATATAGAATCAGAGGTGGACAAGATTAACATTGATCTAAGCACTGTACAGATCCTGACTCCCAGTCTTCTCAGTCAGCTGAACGAACTGAAGAATTCCATCAATGTCAACTTCACAAAGTTCAGGGAGGAGGTAAAGAAACTTACCCTCAGTGGGTCAAAAAATACAGAAATGAAAATGAATTAATGTACTTTTCAGTAGAAAATAAAACATGTTCTGTACTGTTCAATAGAAAATGCAGAATGTTCTGTAACTGTTACTTACAAAAATATCTAACTGATTATTTAAATTACTGATAACCCTTATGTTGCAGTTGAGCAAATCAGCTTCGTCCCAGAACTTATCCACCCTCGCAGACGAGTTAGAGCAATTTGCTGCATCCTGCCCTTCTGCTACCTGTGATGCAGCTAACAAAGTATGTACACAATGGTAGATAGGGTTTTGTTGACAGTAAATATGGAGGATCAGAATTAACATGGAAATATAAACTTAAGGAAAAATATTTTAAAATCTTTTCAAAACAGCAGGACCATTATTAGTGATATGGGGGCACAATAGTGGGATCAAAGGTTTACATGAGAATATTTATGAAGGAAAATGTTTAAAAAAATCCCAAAAGGTAGCCCATTGTTGACATGAATATACTTTGCACTTCATATTAGATTTATGAGTAGAAACTACATTTATGTTAATTAATCTGATCTATGAACAGATTGGATCTCAATGTCCTTTGTGTTTTTTTTTTTTTTTTTTTTTTTTTTTTTTTTTTTTACAGCTAGAACTCCAGAGTTTGGCCACCAGAACCAGATCTATAGAGAGCAATGAGTTGGCTAATCTGACAGCCAGCCTGGTAATTCTCTATTATATATTAGAAGCAATTAGAAATCCTCCCCTGAGATTAAATGAAATAGTACTGTATATGTAAACTAACATTACTAAATATTCTGATTTTTCTTTTTAGTCCCAGCTTCAGCTTGATTTAAACTCCTTGGAAACAACAGTCAATGGCACTGAGGTAAGTTCCACATCATTTTGTGTTTGATATTTCAAATTTATTGAAACTACTTTTGTTTTACTTTGCTTATAAAGTAGCCTCCCCCTCTCTCTCTCCCTCTCTTTCTCTCTCTCAGCTACCCGCCAATCAATGTATTTTTCATGTTTGTCGAACTTTGAGTTGTTCTATTGATTTTATAGACAGATATTGATTCCTCAGATGACTATGACTATTTAGGTGTCTGTGTAGATAGATGTTGTTCATGGAAGGGTATATCATTGTAGATACTTACATGTATATCTTTATATATTTGTAGACAGATGTTGATAATTGTATCAACAACTTTAACGAGTCGGAAACATTCATACAGACCAATGGATCTGCTGTTGTTAAAAATGTAAGTGTAAAGTCTAAAGAGACCTGTCATTTTTCATGAACATTTTCTTTTGAAAATTATGAAATCATATTTTGAGACACAAAAGTAACATTTTTGAATACTGTTATAGTTTTAAAGAAAATTACCTGTTTTCAAGAACCATGTTTCCTGTGAAATTAGTTTGTTAGTAAAGTGCAAAAGAGCTGTGTTTGGTTTATGCAAAAATTAGCCATTGTTTTTCACATGTCCAGTTTCAAATAAAAAGTAGAGCTTCATGCTGTGATTGTAACCTAAAACAACTCTTCTGATGGTTAGCATACTGCAGAATAGGTTTAGATTACAATGATCTTGGGTTTGACAGAAAACTGATGTATCTGAGTACACTCAACAAAGAATAGAGACATAATGCCACACAGGTTAATTAAAAAATGTATGATAGTCTTAAGAAAATGTTTACATGTAGAACATACTGTTGAATTTCAATATCTTCAACACCAATATCTCGAATACTAAGGATATGTCGACTTCTATTCCTCTATGTATATTAACCTTGAAATTTTGAATCCATCAGATATCTCAGGGGTTTTTTTCTTGGTCCCATTGAGTTCGAGATAAGGAGGTCTGGCTGTATTTTGTTATGTATGAAACATACCGTATAATCCCTATTAACCGCCCCTGCCCCTATAAGCTCCCCCCTAGGTCTTTTTCAATTGTTGGGAAATAAGGGCCCCCTATACAGTGATTAAAATCATCTAGAATCGTATTGAAAGTCTGCCATAATTTGAAGAAAATGAAAATTGGTTATTGGGTAGCTGGTACGTAAAGTATTCCTGAAAGTGAAAGATTTTTAGAACGACCTTAAATCATTATGTATTTCTGAAAGTGAAATTTACCTACAAAATTTGTTCTCCTGGTGTATTCTCTAATTTCTCAGTGGAAAAATGAATCATATAGCATAATTTCGATGGATTATCTTAACTTAAAGGAAAGTTAGACAATCTTTTAGTGGTTCTCAGAATTTATTTTTTTTCAAAAGATTTTTTTTAAGTTAAAATATGACATAAAAAATTATAACTAGAATATCAAAATAACCACCCCCTTTTCGCAATTTTCTAAGCGCCCGGGGCGGTTAAATAGGGATCATACGGTAAGTGGATTAGGTAGCAGGCATTGCTTATATATAATCTTTCTCCGTAAACATGATAAAGAACATATAAATGTTGAGCTCAATTTGAAATTCTGGAGAAAAAAAAGAAACCAGCTTGAGATATCAATATTGACCAACATTCATGAAATGGGAGTGATGGATTTAATGAATCATGATATCATAATGCATTATTTATACAGTGCACTAGCAAGAAAAAAAGTCCTTTTTAACATGTTTAACAGATATTTGTATCTAGTCACCATGAGTCTGGTGTTTTTCATTTTATCAAATCAAACGGCAGTTTTAATTTTTCAAAAGATACAGTGCTAAGGAAGACTTCTGATAAATCCAGCTGTTTTATAGATAGTGCTGATGAAAAAGAATCATGCTGTGACATTAAAGCTGTGCTTTAATCATTTGTTAATTTTGTACAGGAAGCCAAGAATTTTGCCTCCAGGATTCTCTCTGTGGTGACTTCATTTGTAGATGATGCCCTAGATGCAGTAAGAAAGCCTTAATTACACACACCTTGATAAATCATGCACACCTCAATAAATCATGCACTTGATGATAAACCATGCACCCATCAATAAATCATACACACCTTGATAAATCAGGCAGACCTCAATAAATCATGCACATGATGATAAACACCCATCAATAAATCATACACACCTTGATAAATCAGGCACACCTCAATGAATCATGCACATGATGATAAACCATGCACCCATCAATAAATCATGCACACCTTGATAAATCAGGCACACCTCAATGAAACATGCACATCTCAAGTAAATCATGGAAACATTGATAAATTTTGCTCACCTTGAGTAATCATACACACCCCAATAAATCATGCACTTCTCAGTAAATCATGCATGGAGAATTATGTAGAAAGATATATCCCAAAGTCTGCACATCTCAATTTTATGTCTGCATACTTTATGTTCATTATGTGTGTTTGTTTTAAACCAATTGTATTGGTATCATTTTTAGCTGAATAATGACATTGGAAAATGCACACCAATATGGAACCTTTACAATTCCTTGTTTGTGACATCACTGTGTAAATATACCATAGACACTCTGGTAAGTTAAAAAATTATGGTATTTATATTTAGAATATATTAACAGTGCATTTAAATTCTAAAAGAAATACAAAAAGTGAGGCCTGAATAACACAATACTGTCACACATTCCTTCATGGTTAGGTCATCACACTAGGTCTGTGGTAGCCATGGACTCACCTTATTGCCATATGTTTGGCATTTGTAATTGAGAGTCAAAGATCTTTCAAATAAGATCTGAAAAATGGGGCACAAGTTATACAATTAAGATTTTTGATACTTCTAAATACATGTAGGTTACATCCATACTGTAAGGTATAACTAGGCAGTTTTAATACATGGTGCGTAACCATTGTTATAGATCAAGACTGATATAAAGAAATGTGAAGATAACAAACTGTGATCGTGCTCAAGAGTCCATTTAAACTAGTAAGCAAGTTGTGAGCAGAGCAAACACAGACCTCTAAATACATCAGAAATGGGAGCAGGTGCCATGGATGAGTAAAAATCCCCTGTCCACTGGTCACACTCACTGTTTGCTCCTTGTTATGATTGGGAAAATCCAAAAAAAAAAAAAAATCCATAGAAAATTCAGTGTGAAAATAATGGCTTTACAATTTGTTTGAAAAACTTCAGTCAACATTCCACTTGTCAACAGATTGTGTTGGCAAACAAGGTCATTGTATTAAACATAGAATTTGCGAAATGTTGATATCTTTGTGTCATCAACTTATTTTGTCAATAGCCTGCCTTAATTGTTTTAAAAAAAATTCTTACATAAAACATGCTCTTGTGTAACAAATCAACTTGGAGACGTAAACACAGTCACTATACGCAGGTGATAATGGTATATTGCTACATAAATAAGGAAAGTTGACAACAGAAAAGTTGAATTCATCACATTTATCATAAAGTTTGTTGTCATAGTCTTACTCTTGTAAAATATCCAATGAAACAGATGTATCATATGTCAGACTTAAATGTGTAATCTATGAAACTTGGGTACTACCTAATCCACTGTCACTTTAGTATACTTCATAAATAGATTAGTTTATAGGTGCTTGTGTCTGATTATTTTTGTCTTATTAATGTACACTTGTCTTTTGTTTACAGAATGGTTTCTGGTTTGCCTTAGGATGGTGCATCTTTTTCTTTATACCTAGCATCATCTTCTCTACAAAGCTGGCCAAACATTACCGACGCATGACCCACCTAGATAGCAATTATGAGGATGACTTTGATAAGTAAGTTAAACATCTTAAACTTAATTTGTATATAGACATGTTGAGTTAGTATTTGTAGTGCTTGCAGACTTAATTAAATTGTATTTCAATATTTACTTGTGAAAATTGTCCCATCCTTCAGTTCATTCCTCCTCTGCTCTGTGAACAGAAAGGTATGATACTTATATCAAGATTTAGCAAGGTTATTAGTTACTGTAAGAGAATAACCCAAATGAAATATAAATGGACTAATTAACTTGCAGCTTTGTGGTTGAAGAATACATGCCTAGTAAATTGCATTACTGTAGATTCCTAAATATTTTCTAGGAATTAATTATCGCGTAATTTCACGAGAAGCACCACTCAAGAAGTAAAATTACTCGATTTTATTTTTATTGTGCTGAAATCCATGTAAAATCTCTTGATCAACTGTCCACTCGCGGATTATTGTTCTCGCGATTTGACGTTAAAGAGCCATTTTGCGATAATAAGTACTCGCAAAAAATAAGGAATCTACAGTATTGAAACGATGAATCAAAAAGTTACTTTAAAGAAAAAAGATAAATCATAAGAAATTTACCTCTTAATTGCTTATCAAAGATATTACAGTGCATACATATCCATGTAGATGTAGCTTGTTTACTTCCTTTGCATAGCATAAATTGAGTAAACTTGCACTATACTAACCAAGTATAAACCAAGTGTACTTACTCTGCACAATACAAAATGACTGTACTCGCTCAACATAGTACAGTATATTTACATAGCACATACTGCCTGTACTCTCTACATGGTACACACTGAGTACTCACTCAACAGTATACTCATACTTTAGTATATATTAAGTGTACTCACTCTACAGAGTATACAAGGGTTATCTGGTAAATTTGTGGACAAGGCGTCTTAGAATGAAAAATAATGTCAAAGTGTCTAAAGTAATGTCATGTTTCATCTTTGCTTAAAAAAAATTAGAAGGGCACACTAAAATTTGGGAATTTCACTGATGCACACACTTGAGTTCCCCTTCAGTTGCTCCATAAACAGACGAGGGACCAATCTTGCACAAACATGAGACCTTGTGAACATTTGCATGTGTAAGTTTGGCCAGTGCTCTCGATCATTACATTCCAGTACATAGGCAATCTTAATTGGATGGTCTGCATTGGTAGCGTCTTTTGCTCTACCAGTAGCTGTTTATCCATTTCTTTTGTTTCTCCCAAGGACTCAATGCGAAAGCTTCCATTTTAATAATAATAATAAAAAAAACTCCATTCACTTGTATACTAGAGATCTAGTGATATTTTTTTATCTTGTTATTGAAAATCTGTAATGGCATCATCACTAAATCTGTATGAAACTGAACTGCTCTCCCCTGCACCAAAACTTCATCAAATGTTACCGTTTTTGGTGAGATTTAATTATGTTTACCTCTTCCACATTTCAAATACTCAGGAACTTTGCTATTCAAGTAAAGAACTTGAAATTTTCCAAATGATGACATAATAGATAGAGACTTTAAAATATGATAATTTTCACCCTAACTTTCTCTATTTAATAATTTTATTTCAAAATAAGGCCATTCCAAGTTTTTTCTCTGTTTAGCATCCACCCATATTTCAAAAACCTACCTACCTATTCATAATGAAACACACATGCCATAAAATTAAACACAGACTTTATGATCATAAAAATGGCGTCATCCAAAGAATTTGATTTCATTAATCTATTTTTTTTCATATAAAGATCTATTCTTTAGCAAAATCAAGGTAATAAATGCTTAAAATATACCTAATATGACATATTGTAGACAAATTTTTAGAGAAATTGACAGAATTTAAAGATTTTGACCTGAATAATCAATTTCATGACTCCTGATTTTGTTAGCTCTACTGGTCAGAGACCAGAAGAGCTTATGCGATAGTAAGGTGTCCGTCGTCCGTCCATCTGTCTAGCTGTCCGTCTGTCTGTAAACAATTTTTCAAAACGCTACTCCTCATACAGTTTTGGTCTGATTTCAATATAACTTGGCACACAAGTAGACTACACTAATTTACATAATTTAGTGCATCAGTTTTTGATTTCGATGAACGGTGTTGCCATGGTTACTAAAAATAGAAATTACTGTGAAATTTCTTTAAAACGCTACTCCTCCTACAGTTTTGGTTTGATTTCAATATAACTTGGCACACAAGTAGACTACATTAAGATACATAATTCTATTTATTGCTGCATGTTGCAAAGTTTCAAATCCGAGTGCTACTTTTCCTTTACGTACCAGTAGAGCTACAGTCTCATCAGAGACTTCTGGTTTGTTTTTTTCTGACATGGGGTGTCAAAAACCAAGGCACACGCAGACTCTAAACATAGAAAAAAAACTTGGAATGGCCTAATACTCATGTATTCTCTGATGAAACCTTGATATTATGGCGTTGTGCCTTACGACCATATTCTATGTGCATACAAGTATTATTAAATCCTTATTTTGTCTACATTTTATTAGAAAAATTAAGAAGTACTCTTTTTTTTCATAATAAACATAATTTAAAACAGTCCTAATATACACATTACACTTTGAAAGTGAAAAAAAAAAAACAGTTCTAGCATATTTCATTGAATTTTGCAAATTAATTCATATCTGATTTATTTTTTTCAAATTTTCTTACTGAGAACCTTTTTGTCTCAGCTTAGAGTGATGATCATATGTGAGATGGCTCTTTCAGCTTAGTGCACACATATTTCAATAAAACGGATCCACGATTTTACCAAACAATCTCTTATGGTATACTTACACAACCTGCATATTGAGTATGCTCACTCAACATAGTACAGACTACAGATTTCATATACCAAATAGTACATATTGAGTGTTCTTAAACTACATATTACAAAGTATACTCATATACACACAATGTAGTGCATACCAAGTGTACTCAATCTACAAAGTACATACTGATTGTAATCACCCTATAAATTAAAGTAATAGCTGTGTACTTAACTTTATAATGCAAACTGAGTATACTCACTTTACATAGCAAATTATATAGTACATACTGAGTATACTCACTTTACATAGCAAATTATATAGTACATACTGAGTATACTCACTTTACGTAGTAAAACTACATTATTGTACATGCTGATTGTGCTTACTGTAGATACTAAGTGTACTTGCACTAGTAGCACATACTGTGTATTTTATGTATGTATTTTAGATTAGCTAAAGCTTTACTGCTTTTTTGTTATAGAAATGGACTACAGCTACCAGAAGTTAGCAGGTATGGCATTTTGGAGGTTTTTGTGTACAGATTTTTATCTTTAGTCAAATTTCTCCTAAATATAGCATAGGACTCTTCTATAAAAATTTTTAAGACACATAATGTAAATTATATTTATTGAAATGTGTTTATATAATTGTATGCATGATTTACATTGTTATTTCTGTGTCCTTTTGTATTTATGGAATGACCACAACTGTTACAGCATGTAATGTTGACATGGCTATACCTATATGTGATGATATTGATTAATTATCTGGTTAAGGCTGCTCCTACAGGATGTGGTAATTAAAATGGTTACGGTCCCCTGGCTCTCACCAAACAAAATAATTGGTCGTAAACTCAAGCTAGAAGAACTGGCTTTATTATAGGTATCTAGTCATGTAAGCAAATCATCATAACCCCATTACATCCCCTCTGTAGGACATAGCTTCACAAGTACAAAGCCTTCACCAAACCAGAATATTTTAGACCAAGATTCTCAATGATGTAATAAACTCAGTAAATCCTTATTTCAATCTTTATCATTAGGAGTTGACTTTCTGTTTTCAGCCGTAGACCAGTATGTATAGGGTTGGTTATTAATCTTTGAAATTAAAAATTCATTGTTGATTTTATTTCAATAATTATTATAGTTTACATCTTTATGATGAGTTTGTTTTTGTTGTTAATTTGTTATCACTTAAAAATATTTATGAGGAAGAATGTAGTTCATTATGATAAATTCATAGTTTATATATTCATTAAATAAACTAATAATCCTGATACATTTATTCCCTCAATATTTCATGTGGGGTAGAAAAAAAAACATAATTTCATTTAGCACAATTAAATTTTACATTGGCCAACATCAAGAATGTAGGATGAGGACAGGTTATTTTATTATTGTTTGATATTTTTCTCCCACTCATTTCTTATTTATAGAACCATAACTACATACCTCAAAAGACAGCAATATTTAAAGCAATTCTTGACACATGCCAAACAGAGAAGACCAAGGTTTGATAAACACTCTGCAAAATGCCCCCCCCCTCCCCCTTTTCCATTGGTTGTTGTTTGGTGAAGTACTGTCCCCTAGCAACAAAATATCATTCAAATACCTTGGCTTTAAATATGTGAAGACTCTAATCTCCAATGGTCAGTACTGTGTAGTAGTAAATTAAATGCACAAATTTGATGTTGTGAAGTTAATGCATGTTTGTTCTAAGTACTTTTATAAAGGATAGTGGATAGAGAATGTACTTGTGTCTTTGTGACTAAAGAGAGACAGCTTATATCTTGTATCAAAGATATGAATGAAAATCCTCAATTTTGTAGTGATAGCTTGAAAAAGAAAAAGAAGTCTTTTGGGCACAAGCAGCACAAAAGAGTGCACCCAGAACCTAAGGGGTAAAAAAAAGTTTGTGAAAATTGATGTTGAGTTGTGTGTTAATCTGGTGTTTGGCATTTAAAATTAGAATTCAGAATATGGTTTTCTTATCAACTTGATTTTATAAATGCTTATTGGTCCCTTATAAAACATTATTAATACTTAAAGTGACTGGGCTCTTAAGCAGATGACAAGTACATAAACATATTAAAATGCTTGAATTTTGATACTAGCTTTTTTTAAGTTTAGAATTTTGATACTAGCTTTTTTTAAAGTTTATATCCTCAATCAAGAAGTAAACTATACTTGACTTACCTGGTACTCTGTTTTAATCAGTATCTACCTGTTAAAGTATATACACAGGTCTATTTACAAATAGCCTGAAAAACAGGCACTTAAAAATGCCTAAGAATATTTATTTCGCTCAGATCAAGAGATAGATAAACCAAATGCATTGTAGAAATTGAGCTGCAATTGATGTACATGGCGGACTAGCAGGCTGAAATTGAATGGCTGGAAGGGGGGATGTTTTAAAGTTATGTGTTACTTTCTAAGGATTAAAGATAACATTCAAAAATGAATACAGTAAGGTAAAAAATTTATTTACAAACATCAGATATTGATTTAAACATTAGATGCACCATAGTCCCATTGACTTTCATGGCCTTCTAAATCACTGAGCAGGATTACTTGTATCATCAACTTATTTGTCAGTAGTCAGCCCTGTTTTACAAATTGTTCATATATAGAACATGCTCTTTCTTACTGAATCAACTGGGAGACATAAAACCCATATGCAGGTGATAAACATTATGTTATATTGCTACATAGATAATGGGAGTTGATGGTTGACGATAGAAAAGTTGAAGTCATTAGATTTATTATAATGTTATGTTGTTAGTTTGCCATCAGTGTCTTTCTCTAGTAAAATATCCAAATATGAAACAGATGTCGGACTATGTGATGTCTTTTAATTGGAGTTCAATGGGATATGTCAAAATCAGTCAGCGTGATTAATCAGCGTAACATAAAAGTTTTATATTGCATGCAACTTAATAGCAAATACTGCCTTTGTTAGCAAAAAAGAATCATTGCATTGTACATTTTACATTTGTCTAGGGTAAAAGATGTCACATACCACATATACGTTTAAGTGGGATTTGTTTTATCATCTTAAGGTGTCTAAGTCTTGATCACATTGATGAGAATTTTCAGCCACTTTAAAAATATCCATGGCAAATGAGTATAAAAGATGAATAAAATATTCTTGATTTCAGCAATATTTATGTAGATAAATGAAATGATGCTGATTCACTTTAGGTTGTAGAATAATATGTGGTCAGTAAATCTTTTTTTGTTTGCTAATATCTATTTTACTTAACTTTATTCATGATGTCTCTTTACTATCTACCTTTTGCAAAACTCAGCATTTTGGTAAACATCAAGCAGTTGAGTGTAAAGTGGAATAATTTGAAAAGCAAAATACCATAGCTGGAATAAATAAGAAAGCTTAAGTAAACTGACAGGTGGTTAAAGTATGCTTAAAATCTGCTAAGAGTTTCCATGTTGTTAAGAGTGTATCTATTGTGATTTAGGTACACCAATGATTAAAATACATGTATATATAGTAATTAACTTACATGCATTGTATGTATAAAGTGATTTCTGTAAGGAGTTTGATAATTTTGCTTTTTATCGCAAGTTTGCCTGGTTTCATTTGTTTTAACAAAGATATCATGATTTGCAGCTGCTAATAACTGTACTTTAATATTGATGCAAGTCTCTGGAATCAATATGTATGTCATGCTTAAAAAAGGAAGAACAAGTCTTGAGTCATCAACTTCAGTTATGATTTGGTTCTATATTCAACACTATCACCTTTATTAGCTGTTAATTATTGCTTTCAACTGATCAATTTTCTACTTTAAATTTAATTTTTAAAAATCTTTGGAACCCAAGTCTTGTTATTCAGACTATAAGTATGATTTGTGATACATGTACACATTAAATTCTTTAGTGATTTTTCTTGACTTTATTATTAGATGAGATTAATTATTTTGTAAGTCTAGATTATTGCTCATTATTTGAGTGTTGACTATGTATGATTATTTCCACTATCAGTTTATTACTAATTATTTAAATTTAATTTTTACAGGGCAGGTTCTAAATCATATTTTGGATCGTAAGTACTATTTTATGAATAGAAAGGAAATACAAATTTTAAAGTTTCTCTGGTTTTGATATTTATGAAAATATTATCTGGACTCCACATTAGTAAAATAAGTATTTTGCCTCAATATCAAACTATTTACAGATTAATGATGATTGTATGATTAAATTTTTATAAGGATGAGTATTAGTCTTGATTCTTTTTTTAATTACTGATTTCTTGTAACATTTTGTTTTTCAGAAACAAAGTTGGACACCATGACCCGTCTTCATCCTTGTCCAATCCACCACCCTATAACTCTGACTGGTGAACTGACAATCAAAATCTTACCGCAGTGAATGTGTCCTCAACATCAAAAGTTTTCTTCTAATTGATTGAGTTTTGTTTTTATTTTTCCCAATACCTGTTTTTGTTTTATTAATGTTTATTTCAAACTTCAGTTCTTTGCTTGATAGACTGTACCACTTCTAATAAAAAAATTGAAGGGTGAATGTAGAATTGAAGGTTATCCATCCTGTAAAGTGAAGGCAGAACTTGATTTTATCCCAGATTAAATCTCATTATAAAGTTTTTAGGCATTGTTTGATTATAAAAATGTTTTGTGTGTGTGTTTTGCTTTAATTTAATTGTTAATTATTCATGCTCAGTTGGTGTTGACAGACTGTGATATTAACATTAACTTTCTTCTTCTTAACTTTCTAGGCAGGCTAAAAATGAAGAGACAATGAAACTCAGCATTTCAAATATGTTATCTTTCTTAAACACCCTTTATATTAGCTTTCATCCAAATAGGTCACATAAACAATTAACTTTGTACTATACATCCACACAGTAAGCCGGCTAGGTAATCACAGTTCTTATCATTGTAGGATTTTCTTTTTAATTTTATTTTGAAGTGTGAGTGATACAGGACATCCGAGTTTAGTAAAGTAGGTCAACACTTTCATATTTTGATTGGTTTTGAATAACTTTTTATTTACTTTGGTGTTAACAAGGATATTTTCTGATCTTTTTATCAGTTTGTGTATGATGTGTCTTGTTTGTTAGATTTGACCTCCTGTCTTATTTTTTTTATTAATTTCACGATATATCCGTCCTGTCATAAGCATTCCATACAAATTATATTTTGTATTCTCTGTACAATTGAATTATTCTCTGTACATTTTAATTATTTTCTGTACAATTTAATTTTTTTTATGATTGATGTGAAATTGTTAATATAAAAATGAATGATTGTACCGCATGTTACATGACAGTGCTTTTAAATTGTTGAGCCTCTATCTCAGATACTAAAACACAGGTACAGGGAGTACGCTTATAATGAATTCATGTCTACAGCAAAGTGATTTACTTTCCCCGTAGTTATTATGAACTTGTTGGATATAACAATATACATTTACATGGGTGTAACAAAATTCTTCCTCTTTGGCACTTTGCTATAGACTTGTCTAACTGTAAACATTTTGTTTATCTACACAATCTTTGGACCGTGTTAGCAGTGGACCTCTTTAGATAGGTATCACCTAATAGCTAAGTTGATGGATACTGGTATTATTTGTTATCATTATAACAATAATTGACAAGACCTAAGAGAATGATAACATTTCTTTTCATGTAGGACATATTTTTCTTTATTGAATTCCAGCAAGGTATTTAACTCTCGTCTAGAACAAGAATTGATTGTATTAGTAAGGCTCCAGTGCAGTTATTTTGAAAATCATATATTAAGCATAATAATGACATGGTTTGTAACATTATGCATAATGTAATTTTGTATTTTTTTTTTAACATTACTTAGAACATTTTAATATTGAGTAAATTTTTTTTTAATATTCCAAATGCTCCTATTTAAATTTGAATAGATAATTGTTCTTAAATTGTAAATTACTTCTTAATGTGATGTTAATTTTAAACTGCTTTCTTTAAAATAATTTGCAATAAATCTGTTGATGTTATGTTCTGTTATCATTGACAAACAACAGAATGTTTCAATCTGACAGGAAATGCTGTTACTGTGAAATAGAGCTTAACAATAACCATTATTAACATAAAATTCATGTATAATGATCTTTTAATGCAGATTGGATTCATATCCAAAGAGTTGTATCATAAAGGTGCCCTGGTATTTACTAGTGACAATTAATTCTTAACAACAATTACCGTACATGAATAATAATGACATGCACAAGTTATATTTGAAATAACTGAGTACACTGAGGGAAAATTCCTAAATTAAAATTCAGGAATACACAAAGATACGTTTTGATACAGTTGACAAATACAACTGGACACAAGTTATTGTGGTTCTTTTTAATGTTTTTTTTTTTTTTTTTATCAGTTTGTCTTAAAAACAGCTAATGTTTGGTACCTTTTGAAAGGTTTTTAAGGAGTATTCTTGCAAAAAAAGTTTAGAGCAGTTTAGCCAGAGGATTTATTGTATACATGTAATCAGCTTGAAATTATATTGGCAGATTTCTTTCATAACATACATAGTTAATTTTTTTTATACCCCTTGCAAATGAAGTTGGGGGGGGGTATATTGGAATCAGCTTGTCCGTCTGTCTGAAGACGAGATTTTGTCCGGACCATTTCTTGGAAACTGTTGCAAGCATTTGTCTGAAAATTTGTACACTTATTTGCCATATGAAGGTGTGCACCTGGTATTTTCATCATGATTGGATAATTTTCTTGCATTTTACAGGTGTTTTTTTTTTTTCATTTTTATTATGTGGTTTTGTCCGGATCTGTTCCCAGAGACTATTGCATAGATTTGTATGAAAATTTGTACACTTATTATTTACTATATGAAGATGAGCACCTGGTATTTTCAACATTACTTGATAATTTTTCAGTTGTTTTTTTTTTTTTTTTTCATTTTTATTGACTTAGTCATTTCGGGTTCATGTCTAAGGTTTGAGACATAGAATCTAGAACATCTGTACAAAAATGTGAACTACAGCTTAAAACAACTCATTAGAACTAAAAAAAAAAATCACAAAGTATTAAAAACAGTTTTTACATTACACAGCAGATTGTGTAAATCCATTTGTCCCTTGGGAGTAATGAGTGGACATGCATCCAGTTAAAGACTAATTAATGAGTTCAGTGTGGGAAGCTGTTAGGGCATCTCTGATCAAGCAGGTCTTATCTTTATCTCCTGGGAATTGGGCAGAAAGAAATAAAGATGTCTGTTGTCTTTTAATTGTAATTTATATCTGTCAAAATACATAGTTACTGGAACCATCCTTTTATTTTTAAAATGAGTTTGATATAAAGGTATTAAGATCAATTTGATTCTGTATAATTAATTATGATAATTTTTTTTGTCAACAATCAATTTGCAGTGTCATATGTCTCACAAAGATGACAGTTGCAACTATTTTTTCAATGTAATAAAAAACACTGTAATTATTAGTATTGATGTTTTATAAGGCTGCACCTTAGTTTCATTCATTAAAAAAATATGAGTAATTAAATTTTCACTCTAAATGTTTAAGCAAATTGTGAACACCTCTCACATCTAGAAAACATTAGTGATTTGGTACCTTCTCTGAAAAACCCAGCGGGGGGTATTTGTCCCTTTTGGACAGTTCTAGTTCTAACAATCAAAATTTAAAAAGAAATGAAATAAATATGAAGAATAATATGGTGTAATTGTGGACTACCCCAACAGCTCTGAACTGTACAACTGTAAACTTTACGGTGTTTAACTATGTTTAATGGCAAAATGTAAACCATAAATTATCTGATTAAAATAAAGTGTAACAATCTAAGGGAGTAAGATTACCCATTTAAACTATAATTAACAAATCGTATAGCATAGAAAATATAGTTAACATTAAAAAAATATGGTTATCAATAAGATTTATTTTAAATATTTTTAATATTCCTAACAATCAAAATGAATTTGAATTACCATATACCTTATACTGGATTCCAAAACTTCAGGAGTACTGTAAAATATATTCAAGAAGTGGTGTAAATCAGTTATAGATACTTTAAAAAAAAAACTGCAAGAAAATTTGAAATCACAAAATTTTACCAAAATCAGTAATATCAAAATGTACGACTTTTCAACATTAGATAAAACCATTCCTCACGATAAATTAAAGTCCAGTCTTTCTGACATCATAGAAAACATCCTGATTGTCCACACAAGTACTCTGAAGTTGATATTAAAAAGATGATTGCGTTTCTGATTGACAATATCTATATAGTTTTTGGAGATCAGGTCTTCCAACAATCTGTCGGTATTCCCATGGGTACCAGTTGCGCCCCCTTATTTTTGTATTCATATGAAGCAGAATTTATTCAAAAGCTTCTACATGAGAAGAAGAGAACACTTGCTGTGGCCGTCAACATTGACATTTAGATATATCGACGATGTATTAACAATAGTTACTTTCATTCATATGTCGACTCGCTATCTCCCAGAGAGATACCAAAGAGTCTGACACATCTCTTTCATATTTGGATATTTTACTAGGAATAGACGTTAATGGGGTAACCTAACACTAAAACTTTATGATAAATGTGATGACTTCAGCTTTTCTATCGTCAACTTCCCTTAAGAAGCAAATTATACCCTTTTCACCTGCATATGGGGATTATGTCTCCCAGTTGATTCGATACGCAAGAGCATGCTCTACGTACGATCAATTTTTAAAACGAGGCAAGCTATTGACAAACAAATTGAAACAAGAATATCTACAGTCTCGTTTAAACTAAAGTCATCATTCCGCAAGTTCTATGGTCGATACAATGACCTTGTCAGCAAATACAGTCTATCATTAAGTCGAATGCTGACTGACGACTTTCATACTAATTGTTAGGCCATTATTTACACATTGAATTGTCTATGGATTTTCCGTTTTCCCGATCATGACAAGGAGCACACGGCGGGTGTGACCTGTTGGCAGAGGATGCTTGCTTCTTCATGGCACCCGATCCCACCTCTGATGTTTTTAGAGGTCCGTGTTTGCTCTGCTCCTAATTTATATTTTTTTATGGACTTTTGAGTTTGATTACTATTTGCTTTCTTCATATTTGATATAATGTTTTCACGAATTAACATGAAGCATTGGTAACAACCATCAGGTCATCATTAAAAGTATATTTGTTTCCCCTAACCCGACCCTATTTTTTTTTCTGACGGCAGTTTTGAAAATACATTCTTAAAAATTGAATAATATCTTTATAAATAAGAAAGAACAAAAGAAACCGATTTTTAAACCGAATATCATACAAATGAAATTTAAAAGCAACATGTATGGTAAATTAATTGGGTGAATTAAAAAAAAATGACCAAACGCATATTTGTCAACCCACACTAAAAATACAGGCAATGAAAATAGATTTCTATGTCTCAGCATATGTCTTTAGATAGTGTCTAAATACCTGCCAAATATCTCGTTGATATCTCAATTAACAAAAAAGTTATGCCCAAAAATGATGCTAAAATTGTCAGGAGTGCAACACCTTTTTGTGACATTTTGAAATTTCAATATTTTTTGGAGATCTGTGAAATAAAAAACAATGCTTCATGTTGAAAATAAAGACTTTCCTGATAATATTCAAAGTATTGAGCTTTACATGTGGACTGTCATAACTTTTGTTTAATCAAGTTGTGGTCATGGCTGATGTTTAAAAAAATGTTATACCATGTCAGGAGTGCAACAGAAAAAATGTAGTGTTGCCAAAAAAACATCAATTGTAAAATTCTGATAGAAAATTAAGACAAAAAAGAATTTTGGAAGTGTAAAATAATAACTGATATACATTTTAAAACATAAAAATATTATATAAATCACAAGCAGCATTAATGAGAGTCAAGTATAGGTGCATACCCAAAAATGTCAGGAGTGCAACATTTGATGTTTTGCTCCCAAGCATGAAAAAACTATTATCATTATATGATTTTCTGATTTTTATTTTGGAAAATAAAGACACAAAGAACATTTTTACCAAATAGATTTATCAATTACAGGATCTGTCTGTGCTTCAGATCCATATTTCTATGGTCAGGAGTGCAACACATTTTTTTAAAGATTCAAGTTGTGTGTCAAAAAGACTTCTATTCATGCTTAGAGGTATTCATTAATTAATAATGATCTTTTTGTATAATTTAATGCTAAATTATTGATAGTTTTATTATTAAAATTCTTTCTTTTTCAATTTTATCAATTCAGATGTGTTTTTATCTTTTTTGTGACTTTTTTAATGAACGTTAAAAATAAACACACTAAAACATTGTCATTAAATTCAAGTAATTCCTCCTCAACTTCACTGAAACAACAGAACAAGTTCTTATGTAATTTTCACTTCACAATTCTACTTTAAAGGCCCCAATGCTTTTGGTCAGGAGTGCAACAAATATGTTAGAATTATAAATCATCCACTAAGAATAAAAATAAAGAAAAAATGAGTAGAATTTTTCTGGTCGGTTACTGTGTTTGTCCTCTAAAGGAAAATATGCTTTAAAATATATTTTATCTTCTAAATATACATTTAAGCTAGTTTTTTGGCATAAAATAGGGTATAATTCCAGATAAAATGCGAATTTTAAATACTTTCATCTGTTTTAATTATGAAGTATCGGACTATAAGTATTGCACAATTTCATTACCACTTGATGTTGCCAACACTTTATGAATTTTTGTGTTCAATGGTTTTAATTTTAAACTTTACTGCAGTCAGGAGTGCAACAAAACTGCTTCATAATTACCGATGTTTTTTAACTACCTTTACGAAAAAATAAGTTGAAAAAAAATGCTTGATACTATTTGATGTTCAAAACACTACGTCTGTCAACAAATTACAGAAATTTTATAGTCAATTCAGGGAATAGTTTTCATCATTTCACATATATTTTAAATAAAATTTATATATATTACAC